TCTGAGGAGGGGTCCAAATCTATCTTCCATCACAAAAGGGAGCACTTGGGGCAAATATACTCACATTGATTTCCTGGGATCCTTGGCTTTCTCTACCGACTTTATAGACCTCTATCCTGGCATACTATGTTAGAGTCAGACATCCCAAGGAGAGTTTGAATATAGGGGCCATAACTCCTATCCCTCTAATTTCTGTCACATAGCATGGTTAAAGAGGGGAGGACAGAAGAGGGTACCTCTCAGTTTCATCACCTCACCTCTCCTCCACTGGCAGCAATTCGGCTCTGCCCCGCACTTGCATGTCCCACTCAGCAAAACCAAAGCTGTATGACTTCCCATACCTACCCTCCTTAGAAGGCAGTTTACTGTCCATCAGCTGTTGCTCTACAATGTCTCTTGAAGGAGGCCTCACCTGCAATCCAAATAGCTTATCAAAGAATTCCTTCCAAGACCATATCATATTTTTCATGAAGAGTTACGGTAAATGCAACAGGGCCATACTTTTACAGTCATTAAAGATTGGTGTCCTAGTCCTCTCATCTGTCATGTGGAGATGATAATGAAGTATTGGTTAAGGATTAAATGAGACAATTGATGGTTTGGGCTGGACAATCAAAAGGAATGATTTTCTGAGGATATACAGGTGACTTCACAGTGTACTGACTTAAAAATGCTTCTTGTCCTGGCTGATAAGCACAACTTCCCGCTGAGCATTTCATACCCAGTCCCACTCCTGTAAAAAGCAACTTTCTAATTCTCATATTGATCTGAATTTTGGTCCTTATCTACATCAGCCAGAGACAGAGAATGTCAGAACCCCAGGGCCTTTCAAACCAAGCCCTTTGGACACTGCCCTGGGAAGTTAGTAACAAATACCCAACTCAACCCAACTTAAACACTAAAGGGAATTTATTGGCTGATGGAACAGAACTGTCCAGAGGTGGGGCCAATACCAGGCAAAGCTTGATGCTGTACTTAAACAATGTCACCAAGGACCTCGCTTCTTTCTGCCTCTTGATTCTCCCTTCAATAGTTTCAGCTTCGGGCTAAGAGTGGTTTTTTTTTTTTTTTTTTTTTTTTTACTTAAAGATTTTATTTATTTATTTTTAGGGAGAGAGGAAGGGAGGGAGAAAGAGAGGGAGAGAACATCGACGTGAGAGAGAAACATGGATTGGTTGCCTCTCCTATGCACTCCAGCCAGGGATGGAACCCTCAACCCAGGCATGTGCTCTGGCTGGGAATCGAACTGGCAACCTTTTGTTTTGCAGGCTGATGTCCAACCAACTGAGCCACACCGGTCAGGGCAAGAGTGATTCTTCTTCATGGTCCCCAGCCAACCACCATCAATAGTCAAGATTACCTACTTCCTCTTTCACATCCAGCAGGGTGAATAAAAAGAGTTTCTATTGAACATTCCCAGAAAAAGTCTCGAAATTCCCTGTGGCTGCATTGCCTTAGCTCACATGACCATACCTGAACCAATCACTATAGCCAGAGAGCTGGAATGTGCTGTTGCCTTAGTTTAGGTCATGCGCTCACCCCCAGAGCAATGATAGAGTCAGTTCAGCCAGATCATAAAATCCCCAAACAGAAATCAGAGGCCGCTGGGAAAGGAAATAGGGGAATGAACACTGGGGATGCAACCAACAACATCCATTACATCCCTCATTTTATAGATGGAAAACTGAGACCAAGATTATAGCAGAGCAGGGCTAAGATCACAACCTAGCCTTTCCATCAGCAGACCACATACTATTTCTACTCTACTTCTATTTGTTAGGACAACTTGTCCACTACTGAGTGGTGATCAGTGTGGGTTCAGGCCAATTAATTTCTCCCTAAACCTGAAAGAACTGGAGGCATTGCATTTCAAACACCTCCAACGAGTTTCTAGTCAAAAGAAAACAAATCTATGCTCCAAGGATTTTTGCAGCCACAAAGATCAACCTCAGCACTTTCATCTCTCCTCTGGGGGCCCCCTAAGTTCCAAGTAGCTCCTGCTACTTTTAAGGGGAAAAAATGCATTCTGGTGTGCAAACATTATTGCATATTCATGCACTCAAAATCTAATTTTAGCTGCAAAAGACTTCATTACAAGATGCTCACATAATTAAGCAGCTTTCTTCCCAGGGTATGAAAGTGAAAGTCTGTCTATTCTTTTCTCTCATTTTCATATCACTAGGATTATCAGAATGTGTTTTAGCTTCTTAAAATTATATATTTTGGGTTTTTCAAATTGATCCACAACAGGAGATGAAATCCATGAAAATTACATTTTAACACAGGTTTGTGTAACTCTGTAGTCTTGCTATTAAAGTTGGAATCTCTAGACAGTCAGGGCTTCACTGTTCATAGGCTTCTGATGCATTTACCACATTTCTCCCCTCAATACGGCTCTGCTTTTACTCCTTGGCTGGTTGGAACAGTATTCTCTTTATGGAGAGGCTTTGAGCTATATAGACAAGACCTAACCTGGACACAAACAAAAGGACAGATGGATCCCCTTCCTGTGCTCTGCTCTCCTGCAGAGGCAGGCCCAGGGCTATGGCTGCCGAGAAACAGCAGCAGTGGGTAGGGCCTTTGCCCCTCTTCCCCCACCTCTTTGCTCAGCATCCAGAAGCCCCTGCCAAGTGCCCAGTTCTTAACCATATACAGTGGCTCAATGTGATTTGGATGCACCCTGACCCCATCATTCTACCCATCTGCATGCCTGGCTAAGGTGCATGTAAACTACTAGGCCGTTGGAGCAGGTGACACTCCACCTGCAAGGAGAGGTCTCTGAGTACCTGGTTGCCAGGAATGTACCCACCCATCTGCCAGGATGGGCTGTGCTGTTGCTCTGCTGACTCATCGACGGGGAAGGGAGGATCCCAGGGGACTGTGCCTCAGCTGTGGTCCTGGCTACTATCCAGCCACGCCTCTGCCTTCTCCAGCCCCGACAGCTTCTGAGTCTTCTACTTGAAGATTATCTGGGTAGGTGGCCAGGGACTGAGAGCCACAGCCATGAAGCTAGTCTCGGGAGGAGGCCAGCTTCCCTCTTCTCTATCAGTTGGAACTGTGTCTCCTCTGAGACTCTGGGTTTGCTCTGGGGTACAGAGTCCAAGGCAGCATGGAAACCCCTGGTGGGTCTCAGCTGCTCCTCGAACTCGGGAAATGCAGCCTTGTTGGGGCCTTCGCAGACTTGACCGTGGAGCCATGCTGAGCCAATGCACATTTACAAAGCCCTTGGTGTTTCCAGCTTTGAGCTGAGCCATATGACGCAGTGGGAGGGTCTAGAACAGCCTCAGCATCAGTGTGGGTTTGGGGGAACCTCAGGAAGAATTTGGAGGCCTCCAGGAGCACAGATGCTCAAGCCCACTCATTGGTACAACCAAAGGCTGGGGAGTCTTCCCCCCGAGGAAGGGTGGCTCCCCTGGGCCCTTCAGCCCTTCCTGCCTTCACCAGGGTGGCTCTCAGCTCCCCGCCACTGGCCAGGAAGTGGAGGGTCAGGGCCTCCCCATATAGGGGCTTTCTCAAACCCCTCACCTATTTTCTCCTTATGATGCAGATTGGCTCAGGATGAGGGGATATTGGATGAAGGGGCCCAGCTGGGGTAACCTCAGACTTGGACAAGCTGCAGAGGGGCTGCCCAAGTTCAGGCCTACTCACTCCCCCCGCCGCCCCCTGTCATCCATGTGCAGTTAGGCTCTCTACAACTCTCCCTGCATCTCGCTGTCCCGGGCCATGCTCCCCGGTCCATTCCAACCTCGAGACATGAGCCCCCTGGTCTTCACAGCCTCTTTCCTGAGCCCAAAACATGTAGCAAAGCATAACCCAGGAAGGTAATTAACATCAGCATCTCTGCCCCTCCCAGGCTGAACACTAAGTGGTTGTAAAGACAGAGTTCTTTTCTGCGTCCCACCTCTGTCCTCACCCACCCCCTGTCCTCCTTCTGCTGCAGACTTGGACACATATGGCCCACATCCCATTCACCTCTTCGCAAAACACACCAGGTTTTCCAAGCCTCTGAGCCTTAGCACATGCTGTTCTCTTTGCCTTAATTATGCTTCCCCTCTGCTCTGCTTGAATAATTCCTACAGATTCTCAAGACCAGGTCAAAGTTGCTGTGGTGCATTCCCTGGAAGCCCAGGCACATGGCTGGCCACTGGGAGACCCCACACAATTGCTCATCTGCTACTGGGCCTCTCGCTCTGTTCGTGATGACCCCTCCCCTGGCCCCACCAGAATGAGCTGGGGGTGTGGAGAGGTGCCTTTCATACAGGGCTTCTCCTTCTCCTGGCGGCCAGCACGCAGCAGGTCGCAGCATCTTTGAGTGCCCTTTCCCTTTTTTGAGGAAATGGATGAACAAGTGGGAAGGATAACAGCAGAGCAGAAATAGACAAGGGGTGTGGTGGAGGCTGGTGAAGGGAAGTTGTGGGATAAGAAAGAGAGGAACACAGAGGGCTCAGCCATGGCCACCAGCGGTCAAGCAGAAGCTGCGGCCATGGCCTCTTCCCCACGGGTCCAGGGTTGTGTTGTTGATGGACCACGCACTTCCCCTTCCTCATGACCCAAGGGCAGGACCCATGGAGAACAGGGGCCTGTCAAGATGGGCAGGGCAGCCAGTCGCAGGGGTCCTCAAGGCCTGCCCTTCCTGGGATTCCCCGAGCCCACCCCATGCCCCCACCTGATGGCATACGGGCCCTCGGGTGTAGGGCTCCCCTGAGGCCTAGCCCCTTCTCTGCCCCACTGTCCCCTCACCCTCACACCTTGTATCTGAACCATGAAGTGAATGCCCCGCTTTCCTGGGGACAACTGGAGAAAGAAGCCAGGCAAGGAGGCCCCACGCGGAGGCGCACTCCTGTTGGAAGGGGTGGCAGGAGGGGCACAGAACCTGCAGTGGGTCCTGAGGTTGGTGTGTGTGTTAGAGGTGCTCCACTCTGCCCACGGTGTTGCCAGCGCATCCACAGAGAAGGGGGAGGCAGGGCTGCAGAGTTCGTGGTGCTCAGATGTCACACCACACACATTTATAGGGTGTCTGGGCTGCACAGCCCAGCAGCAACAATGCGTGAGCCCACCGCCATGCCCACGTGCTTGCTGCTCACAGCATGGGCGCCACCCAGCCCAGCGTCCCACAGTCAAGAGCCCTGACCAGCAAGTCCATGCCTGGGGCCGAAGACAGGAAACCCGAGGCCTCTGAGAGCCATGGAAAACGTGGTTCTATAAGTGTAAGAGATGGACAGATTGACAGTCTCTGGGAACACATAACCTGGCGTCTGTGTGTGACTGTGTTTGCAAGTCTGGGAGCATCTGGCACACCCTGCATGGTGTCTCGGGCTTGTAGAAACGGGCACTGTGAGCGTGGAGTGGTGTGTCTAAGAGTGTCTGGCTAGGCGTGTGTGTGTTCTGTGACACTGTGTCTGCCTGGGTGGGCTAAGGGCTTGTGTCTGGTCTCCCTGCACGTGAGGAAGGCAGCACTGGGTGAGCCTCCCAGCTGGCGGCACAAGCAGCCTTGCGTCCCAGCGAGGCCACCACCTGAGCATCGGAGCAGGTGCAGCTCCGGGGGCAACTAGCTCTCAGCAGGGCGGGCAGAGCAGCCGGGCCTATCATCTGGGCACATACTCCCTGGGCAGCCCAGCCCAGTTGTGGTCACGCAGGGCCTTGTCTACTGTCCGGATGTAGCCATTGATCAAGTCCTTCATCTCCGGGGTGAAGGGCTCGGGGTCATGAGGGCGCCGGCCGTGCCGCCGGAAGCTGCCTTCCTTGTTGTTCTCCACGCAGAGCAGCCGCTCTTCGCTCACGGACACGTTGAGGAAGGCCACCATCTCCCGCAGCGTGGGCACCAGGCTGCGTCGCAGCTCCTCGTAGTGCACGACCAGCAGCCGCTTGCCGTACTTGAGCCAGTCCAGGACGTGCGAGGACCACCACGATGCATAGCTGTTGACGAAGTCCGGCCACTCTGGGGAAGAGAGGAGGGGTGCCGCATCAGGGCCCAGCCTGGGAGGGCTGCCGGCCCTTCTGCATGCCCAGGGAAACGGCCAGGATCCCCCATCACCCACGGCCCGAATCTCCTGCTGAGAAAGCCCCTCTGTGTGACTTAGTGTGAATAAGGGTTAATATCAGGCTGGGCGCTGAAGAGTCCTAAGCTGGAAAGATGCGACCTTGAGCCTGCCAGCCCCCAGCAAACACATCAAGTTAAAGTTAATATGAAACGCATGCACCAACAACTGGTTCTCTCTCTCATGTGCTATGAATTCCTTAGGGACGGTCCCTGGCCAGGGAGAGCTGGGCGGGGCCGCAGTGCATGACCCAGCAGCCTTAAAGACAGGTGGGAAGCCAAGGCAGGCATCTCTTTTGAGATGACCACCGTTCATCTTGATCTTGTCTCTGGCCACTGTGCACTTCTACTGTGAACGACAGGACTGAGAGGCATGTGTGGGGGCAGCTGCTGGGCCTCCTGGTGAGAGGAAGATGCTGTGCAGCCTGGACTTGCTCTCCCGGCACCTCCCGGAAACCTGAGTGAGTGAGGTGCCTGGCCGGTGCTCGCTGAATCTGGGGGCTGTGAGGCCGTTTCACGCATGGCACAGCGGGGCAGGAGGACATGCCATGATGCCGTGGATGGGGCAATTGCCAACTTCTGCAGATGACCTCCTTCATGAGATTTCTCTTCCAGCAAATTAAGAAACGAGGTGTTTCGCTGGGAGGGAGGGCAGCGGAGCATGCTAATGTTAAGAATCACCCCGACAAATGTAGTTGCCGTAACTGGGCTACGAGAAGCATTTGTTTTCTCTCATCTTCAACATGACCCTATGGGATAGGGACCACCTTGTTTTTCAGATGAGGAAGCTGAGGCTCAGAGGGATGCCGCTTGCCCCGGGGTCACTGAGTTGGTTAAGGGGCTCAGGAAGGATCAGAGCTTAGCCGGCCTCCATCCAAAAGACGAGTCAGCAAAGGGGACAGGGATGGCTGCGGGGGGCGGAGGTGGGGCGCTGGTTTGGGTGAAGGATGATGGGGAAAGGGGAGGATACGGTCAGCCTCAGCTAACCCAGAGTCGTGCAGGGGCACAAGTACAGCCTGCCCGACCTGTGGCCTTACGTCTCATCGTGTCACCCAGTCAGCTGAACACAGCTTTCTTTCTGACGGCTCAGTTTTATAACACTCACCACTCTGACTGGTACCTCTGTAATTCACTGCCTAAAGGCTGACTGGGAGTACCCTGACCCCTTCCCCGGGGCCCCTGGTGCCTTGCCCAGTGCCTGGCACACAGTAGGACTTCAGTAAGTATGTGTCAGCAGGCTGGCTCTGTGAATAAAACTGTAGCGAGCCCCCCGCCCACTGGCCCCTCCTGTACCTTTGCTCTTCCAGTTGCGGTCAGCTGCGTAGCCCAGGTGCCCAGCGCACTTCCTGTTGAATTCGGCCACCAGGGACCTGTATGGGTTGCGGATCAGCAGGATGGCCGAGTCGAACATCTCGATCTCCCTCCTGCCACTCTCGTGGGTCTTCACACAGATGGTGCGCCGGCTCCGCCAGTGGTCCTTCTCGCCCTTAAACCCTGACCCCGAGAAAGGAGACAGCTGCTTTGTAGGAAGGCACGGTGGGGCCCCCGCTGCCAGGCAGCAGCAAATCCGAACGCTAACCTGCATCCCTGAGGGAATGCTGTCAACAGGGGCACAAGAGAGACCCGTGGATGGCCGACGGCACTGGGAGGGCCTATGGATGGTTAACAGGAGTGGCCTCCTCAAGACTGACCCTGCCCAAGACCGCAGGAGAGGTCTAAGAGTTGGGGAAGATGCGTCTGCTAGACAGAGGAGATAAGGCACCTCCTACGGATCCCCAGGAGTCAGGGGTCAGAGCGCCTGACTGTGCTGCATCTCTATACATGGGAGATGCATACGTTTGGGCATTTTCTTGGTAATTTCACATGAATGTTGCAAATACCCCTGAGAGTCAACTATAGCTGCAAGCATAACGGGATAAGGAGACCGAGGTTCAGAGTGGGTGTGTGACTTGCCCAGCACCATGGCAACAGAGCCAGGGCTCTCTCTACATGGCTGTGTATATCTGACAGGCTCCCAGCTCCCACCCACCTTCCCACAGTACGAGCAGGACCCCCATCATTATGCTCAAGGGCTGTAAGCAGCTAGTGTCCCTCCCTCTGACCTCGTGCCATGGTCCTGTAACAGGGTTCCAGCCTTGCATCCATGGACGTTCTCTGCCTGGGACCTCCCCTCCCCCACAGCGTGTCTGGCCAAGGTCTCATCCGCAATGTTTGAGCCCAGCCCTGCCACATCCAGGGCCCAGTGTCTACGAACAGAGCCCTGCTCCCATGGAACAATCTCTCTGGGCCAGGGATCTGCCTTCTTCCTGGGTCCCTTGGGCTAGTACTGGGTACCTGAGCCTGCACGACTTCTGCCTGAGAAGGTCAGACTCTATCCATCCATACACATCCATACACAGTCACATCTTTATCCATGATGATTATTGTGTGCTCATTCTCTGTTGGACTTTATGTCGGGGATCAAGGCTCAGACCCTGTCTTTAAGCTTACAGTCTAGTAGGGAAATAGCCCAAGTAAACTACAGAACATAGGGGCTTATGGGAGCACAGATTAGGGGGCACAAATTAGAGGGTGTAGTGGGATGGCACAGAAGGCTCCCCTGAGGACAGCCTTCCTCTGAATCTTGTCTCCTGACCATACCCCAGTGTAGCTATGCCAGCCAGCTCTGGGGACATACTCCATAAATGTGCACGGACTTATCCTGGGCTCTTCAAAACATAAATAAGCCCCTACGCCTTCCATGAAAGGCTGGGAAGCATTTGTATCTACAAATGCCTGGAAATTCACAAGCCTCTTTTGATCTGGGAGTCTGGGTCCACCTACTGAAATGCAACATGCTTCAGACTCATCTCTGCCATGGGCCGGACCCCAAAAGTCTTTACTTTGACTCATTCTGTGAAATGGCTGGGAGTTCCCAGGAAAGAAGAGTCCAGCCCTGGGCTGCGTGAACGTGAGGTCTAGTCTCTGACACTTGAGACCCAGGGTGCCTTTCCCACTGGCTGCCTCAGCCTGTTTTCAGCAGCCGCCCCTTTTCCTTGTAACTGCAGCCACGCTCACCCAGGACAGGTCTGGCATTTGGGCAGTGAAGCTGCCTTGGGAACTTCACACCTGTGTGTGTCACTGCTCTGTAAGTGCTCCGAGGCCCATAACTACACCTGGCTTGTCCTGTCAGGCTCAGAGACGTGCAGCTGTGTCACCCAACCCGTTTATACATGGCTCTGTGGATCAGTGGGCCACTTAACTGTGGACCCAAATAACCAGCTGTGCAGGAAAGGTAAAGGCTTTCTAGATGAACAAGGTGGGCGACTGCAGCCTGTGCACAGTGGGTGCTTCCCAGGAGACTAGGCCAGAGTGGGTGGGACCACGTGCTTCCCCGGCCGCGTCAGCCGCAGGTGTCCCGAGGGCACTGGGACTGGGTTAGATGAACATTCTTGGCTTTTTCCCAGCCAGACCGAGGTTGCTGTGAGTGATTCCTGAACCCACTGCCAAGTTCAGGAAGTTTCCGTTTTCTCTAGGATGTTACTGAGAGTATCCTTTTCCTGAACCGAGGTCCAGTTAAGGAACTCAGCTGTTGTAACACTTGACAACAGAGAAATGTTATTTCACCAAATTTAAGTGCCAGTTGACTTATCTGAGGTTCTTACTTCTTAAACAGCCCACAGACTCGAGCCATTTAAGTTTATTTACTTGGCCTAGTGACGCCTCCTGTTTCTACAAGATTAGAAATCATAAAACTCTTGAAGATTTTTGGACCTATTTTCTAAAAACAGCATTTTGATAAACCACCCCTTGCCCCTCCCACCCCCAAAAAGGAGTGAGCAGATACACCTAATTATAGAGGGTTCTGAAAAGTTAGGAAAATCCAAAAAATGTTTCTAGAGAGGGAATCCCAGCTACTTTGAATGCAGACGCGATCTCATGAATTTTCACTCGAGGTGTAGCCCTAGGCCTGGCAGCATCATCGCCCGGGAGCTTGTCACAGAGGGCATTGCCAGGCGCCGCATCAGATCTACCGAACTCGACTCTCTGAGGGTTCGGCCTGGGAATCTGCTGAATGCAACAAGCCCCCCGGAGATTCTGACACACGCTGCAGTGTGAGAGGCACTAACCCAGTGCTCCGAGGGGATGGCCTGGCCGCGGCAGCGGCCCTTCCCCACTCTCCAGCGGCCTTCACTCACCTTTGTTGTAGAGTGTTCCATCGAAGTAATAGCTCCCTGTGTAGAAGCCAGTGGCGTGCTCGATGAGGTGCCGTGCCCAGGTGTTCCCGGCTCCCGGGAAGCTCGACAGAGCCACAAACACTTTGGATTTGGTGGGCAGGAACCTTCTGTCTGTGCACCGAGTGTCTGAAAGCCAGAAGTCATCTTGGGTTACTCACCCCCACGGGACTCACAGACTCGTCGCTGGACCCCCCTAGACAGAAACTGCTGACCCAAGACTCCCACTGGATAGAAGTGTGGACTGAGGCCCAGTAAGGGGCCGGGGCTTACCAGCTGCACGTTGGCTGCACAGCTCTGTGTCTGGCCAGAGAAAGCCCCAGTGACAACGAGGCCCGCAAGGCACATGCAAGAGTGGGGTGCACCCTGGCACCCTGTGGACCCTCAGCCCCTGCTGTCTCCATGGCCAATGTCACGGCTACTGGTGCAGCAGAGATAACTCCAGGGGAGGTGGCTGGGGTCATGGCTGGGCTGACCAATGCCACACACCCAGGTACAGCTGACAATGAACCAGCTGGACTAGTTTCAGGCAAGTAACCTCTCTGAGCCTGCTCTGCCTCCCCGCTCCCCAGGAAATCATCAGGTGAAAGCCCAAAGCCTGGGCTGTGCTGGGTCACAGTAGGTGCTCCATAAAGGTAGCAACATCCCTCCTGTCTGCTCTTCCTCCATTGCTACTCAGGTCAGCTGGGGCACACTGGATGCTCACACCTCACGGCCAGGAGCCTTACGGGTCTCCAGGTCCTGGGCTGGCTCCGGGGAAACCTCTGAGGCTCCTGTGGCCACCGAGCTCCCACACTACCCAACGCCACCGCCTTGCCATTGCTATCACTCTGGGCCCTGCCTCTCTGCTCTTCCTTTCTTCCTCAAAACACCTTCATCCCCAGAGAGATTCAGATAAAGGTCAGTTGCTCTTCAAACTGAGCCCCGCATCCCGTGTCCAGCTTCCAGGGACGGTGGAGGCCTCCTCCATCCCGTTATCCCAAGATAAGACCACCCATGACGATGCCAGGGTTTCTACACAGACGCCTTTCCTTCCCCAGGGCTGCACAGTCAGCCATGGCCAGCATTCCCAAACCCCCAGACCAAATGACACAACCCGGGGCAGGCATGGGGAGGAGGGACTTTCACCCCTGGTCCTCCTCTAGGTGGGGGAGGGCTTACCTTGCACGGGGGTCTGGTAGACCTCACAGTACTCTGCCAGCCTCCGTGCCTCAGGGTCCTGGCCACACAGCGAGCTGTCCACTGCATCCCGCAGGTTGAACTGGGGGGTGGGGTAGGCACAGTAGCACTCCCAGCCTCTGAGGATGGCCAAGGGGAACTCCTGCCAGACAAGGAGAGAAAGAGGAGCATCTCCGGTGAATGCAAGGGCCATGCCTCCTGCAGCTTAGGTGCGTGCTGGCTCCAGGGGATCAACAGGGACGTCCGTCTGTCCTCCCAGCGCCAGGCTCTGTGCCCAATCCTGGGGAGACCAACTCAATGACATGTGACTTCGGCCCTCCAGTAGCTCCCAGTTGGCTGGTGACGAGTCAGCAGGCACAGCACAGTGAGGGTGGCGCGATGACGGAGGGGTAAGCCGGGTGTGGAAGGCGGCGAGCAGAGCCTGGAACCGGATCTTTGAGATGACTGGGAGGTAGTCGGCGTGCTAGGGTGGGAGCGGTCACTCCGGACGGTGGGATCCACGCGAGAACATGCGTGTGTGGGGCAGAATGGGACAGATAAGCCCACGCAGGGCAGTTAAGGCTCAAGGTGTCACGTATTTAAACCAACAGACTGAGAGCCCTGAGGGACTACTTCTGAATTCCAGTAGCTCTGCCGGGGAAGAGACCCTACCCAACCCTTATACCAGACGCCCACTGCAGGGTGGGGTTCAGGGCCAAAGATTCCCACAAACCCACTCTCCGTGACTGGAAGGGTGAGCGCGTATAGACTCGGCCCACCAAGGTACTTGAGTCCAGTGGGGGCTTCCTGGGAACAGAGGGGCCCAGCCTGCGCGCGTGGCAAAGCCCGCTCCTAGCGGTCTCTTACGCCGTTTCTTGCTCGCCCTGAGGAGGCTGCGCTGTAAGATGAAGAGAGCTGGGGCGCTGGCATCTGGAAGGCCTGCATGTGAATTGGGGCTCCCAGGCTGGGTAACGCTGGGGAAGGTACCGAACCTCTCTGAATTTCACCACTGAACAAAAGTAATCAAATCCGCCTTGCACGTTTATTATGAGGACGAGATGAGAAGGGTCCTCACGGCTCGGCACTGGGCTCCCCGCTCTCCCCCCACGGACGTGTGGCTCATCCTCTGCCTCCTCCCCCTCAGCACCGCCACGGCTCACTCAGGAATCTCCCCACCCCCTCTCTCACAGCTGGTTTTTGAGCAGCTGCTGCACCCCGGGCACTAGGTAGGCCACGTTGCCGCATTTCATCTCTGCATCTTGAACACAGGAGACGCGAGCTTGCTGAAGTGTGCAGAGAGGAGAGGAGTCAGGAGTGTGCGCGCGGGAGGGAGGCCGTGGGTGGAGAAGCCTTCTCGCTGCCAAGGGAAGCGCGGCACAAACCTCTTTATTTTTTGCCCACAGCGAAATCTCATAAATAAATAAATAAAAGCAAATCAATAGCGGTTTCTGAGCAGGGCCTGGCAACGCGGAGGATCTCAAAGAAGACAACAGAGGTGGTGTCCCAGCCAAGGGAGGGCACAGGCTTTAAGGGGGGAGGGGAGGAGGTGTTCCTGGGTGCTGCCCCCCGCCTCCCACCCCCTGCCCATGCAGGGCTGCCGTTCCAGGAACAGGCTGAATTCTCTCCCCCATGAGAGCCTCTCCCTGGCTGCCTCGTCCTTTGTCAAGGCTGAGGGGCTGCTTTGCCTCTGCGGGGACTTCGACCACAGCCCACACCCACTGAGCTGTCACGTAGGGGTTGGGGGAGGACAGACGCTTTCACTAATCTCACATTACACACACCTCCCCACCTACACACACACACACACACACACAGAGTCTCTTGCTGCACTCTCTGCTTCTAGAGCTCTGAGCTCCCTTTTGCAATGGAAAAACTCTTAGACCTTCTATATGACCATAAGCAAGTCACCGCCCCTTGGGAACCTTCTTTTTTCTGTCTGTGAGATGGACACACTCCATGAATGGGCCTGCCTGGAAGAGCTGGAGGATCTCATTGCTCGTGGCCCTCTCGCTAGCTTCCCTGGCCCACCCTGGGGGCCGTGCGGCTAGGACAGCTATGCCCAAGCCTTTCCTAGGAGAGGCCTGAACCGGGGATGCGGGTGGGGGAGGCTGTTGCTCTGGGTACCCATGGGCTTCTATGTCAGAAGGAGGGAGCACTGTGTAGTAGAGGAGGTACCAGGTTTATAATCCAAAAGACTTGGACTCAAGTTGCCATGTCATCATTCAGTATCTGTGCGACCTTGGGCAAGGAAGGGCCCTTTTTTCTGAACCTCGATGTTCTCATCTGTAACATGGGGTAATAACATCCCCCTCGGAGACTGCTGGGAGAATGAAGGGAGGATAACACAGGAGACGGACCCAGCCCAGTGTCCAGCACATAGGAGGTGCTCCCCTATCACTATCTCTTAAGCCCTTTCATTGCGCTAGAGGTGGGCCCAGGACCACCTGACACTTAGAGCACCACGAGTTTGTTTCCTAAAGCTCCTCACTTTGGCTCCCCTTCCAAGGCCCCTAATGCTCAGGAGTAAGCGAAGTTGGGCCCCCTTCCCCCACTTAGCACTCATGGTCTTTCATCTTTATCAAGCACATACAGGAATGAATTGCTTTGAAGTGGCCACAGTGAGGCCCTAACTTCGGGACCAGCCACAACTCCAAGCACAGCCGCCCTCAATGTCGGCTGCAGGGACAGCCCAGCACGGGCCACCAGGGCCACTGCCGCAGCGCAGAGCCGAGACAACCGGACTGGGGAGCGAGTGGACAAAGGCTGACAAACCTTGTCCACGTGCAGCTGGATTCCAGCCACCCGGGGGCCCTAGGCCATTTCTGCACAAAGAGCAATCGGAGGCGCGTCCCCCAATCAGAACACCACTGGCTTCCTGGAAGTTCGGCTGACATGAGTTGGTGGAAAGCCATCACAGGAATCGTAGCCACCGGCCTGCCCCGTCACCATCTGTCCTCTCCCACTAAGCCCTCGTGCCCCCTCATCCCGGGTCGACACCTTCATCGCAGCAAGTGGGAACAAGAAGCCAGGGCACCCATGCAGCCGTGGGGAGCGCACGCGGCCACGGGACTGCGTCAATGGCTGCTATGGGCTGAATCGTGCTCCCTAAATTTCATGTGTTGAAATCCTAACTCCCGCACCTCAGAAGTGATTGCATTTGGAGATAAGGTCTTCAAAGAGGTAATTAAGTCTAAATGGGCCATTAGGGTAGGCCCCGATCCAATCTCACTGGCGTGGTTATTAGAAGCAGAGATTAGAGCACAAGCACACATAGGCTGAGGGACAGCCATGTGAAGGCACAGGGACAAGGTGCCATCTGCATCTGCAAGCCCAAGACAGAAGACACCAGCCTTATCCATGCCTCGATCTCAGACTTCTGGCCTCCAGAACTGTAAGGAAAGACATTTCTGTGGTCTAAGCCACCCATCAGTCTGCAGCGCTCTGTGATGGCAGCCTTGGTAAGCTAACACACTAGCTTTCTTTCAGGTCCTTGGCTGTTGTGGTCACATACCAACCTCAGCATCTTTGTCCTTGCTGTTCTCTCTGCCTAAAATGCTCTTCCCCCAGACACCCTCATGGCCCCCGCACCCCCCCACCCCCCGGCTTTCTTCAACTTGCCTTCCCCAGGAGCCTCCTCTGGCTTCCCCGCTGCAAGATGCAATGCTCCCCACACCGCCCCGACACACCCTGCCCCCCGCCCTGCTTTCTAACTTTGTCTCCTTGAGATGTAAGGGCGAGGATGGACTCTGACCCTAAGTGTGCCAGTCAGCCGGCCTTGATGAATGAAGACACATGGCACTTCCCTCACACCAGGCTCCCCAATCCCTTCCCAGCCAGCCCTCCCTCCCGCAGAGCAACTGCTACCCTGATTTCCATCACCGCAGATTCGTCTATTCTAGAAAGTCCTATAAATAGAGTCATCCAATGTCTATTTTTGAGTGTCTGCCTTCTTTCATTCAGAAACACATTTGTTAAATTCACCCATGTCGTTTTATCTGTTAGTAGATTGCTCCTTTTTATCACTATTATTCTGTGTGAATGTACCAATTTGTTAATTCATTCACTTGATGGACACATGGGCTGTTTCTGGCTTTTACCTATTACTAAAAAAGTTGCTATGAATGTTCATGTACAAGACTTTGAGACAATGAATATTTTCAGTTCTCATGGGTGAATACCTGCTTCATTTTTCTCCACTAACTTGTCAGCGTTTGACATATGATCTGATTTACTTACTGACCTGTTTACTGCATGCCTCCATACCCGAGAACTTGAGCAGGGATCTCTTGTGTGCCTGGTGAGCTTTGCTGCATTCTCTGCAACGTGGTGGATGCTTAATGAATGTTTGATGGACAAACCAATGAACAAATGAATGAATTCCTTTACAGACCCCAATTCTCCCTAGAGTTATTGGCAATGGATTTGGGCACGAGCCTTCTAGGTCATTTTTGCCCTGGGCATGAGGGAGGAGAAGAAAACCGCTGCATCTAAGGAAACCCCGCCCCCACTCAAAATCAGGGACCCCAGGGGTCTCAGTTCTCCTGGGATTCCTCTTTGGAGAAGACTTCGCTGCCATGGTAGCTCTACTACGGGTGGCTGGCTGTCTCCCTGCCTGGCTGCCGATGGTGAAGCCTCATGGTCCTATATCCCAGGGCTGGGACAGTGACCTGAACCTTTTTGCTTCCTTGAGTGGATTAAACTGTCAAGTTTCTGGGTGTTTGCAGAGCAACGGGAGAGCTGCAGACAGTAATGTGGTTTTATTTACAACATAACCGCTTCAGCAACATCACTGGATTCTGAAAACACAGAACAATTTTCAGCCCCTTGAGGATTTCTAGGACATGATTTCCATAAAAATTAAATATTGATGAATCTTATCTCTCTGCCAACTTACCCACTCCCCTCCCCCGCCATCCCAGACTTCAGCGAGAGAGAGAGAGAGAGAGAGAGAGAGAGAGAGAGAGACAGGGAGTGCAGGGAGAAAGGAGAAAATGATTCGAAAAAGCAAGGCAAAAAAGGAAGGAAGCTCAAACACAGATGTGGCAGCGTTTCAGTAAAATAGACAAGGGGCTAAAGACGGTGCCGCTGAGCCCGTGTCGGAGAGCAGGGTGGGTAGGCATCCTCACACTCACACTTCCCCTCCAGCCTAAGCCAGGGTGTTCA